AAGGAACGACTATTTAGAAGTTTCTTCGACACACATTGCAACATCTATCCCGAAGTGACCTTAGAAACGACTATTTAGAAGTTTCTTCGACACACATTGCAACATCTATCCCGAAGTGACCTTAGAAACGACTATTTAGAAGTTTCTTCGACACACATTGCAACATCTATCCCGAAGTGACCTTAGAAACGACTAGTTCAAAGCTTTCTGTGACCGACATCACAACTATGGTCAGTTTATGTCATAAAATTTACTTTTGTGTAATATTTGTCTTAGATATAGAATTGCAACATTTTGGATCAGGATAACAAATCTGCGACTGACTGCCTTCTAACACAATCATTTTTTTCCAGCAGAATTTCAATGTTTTCTATCTTGTCATTTGGTTTGTTGAAGAATGGTTAACCTTTAGTTTGACCTTGTGAGGTTACTGACACAGTAATCACGTTGGAAGGTAGAATTGTTGCGATTCAAGTGTCATTAGTTCAACTAAGAGGTTTAGGAGCACCTGCTGAATTTTTACAGCATTATTTCGCTGTAAACCTGGACGTGTCATTTTAATCGTCACTTATTTGATGGATTAGTCACAGCTTTTCATTTGTTTATTTCCTACGAATGACATATTTTATTTGTGTTGTTTCATCATTCCTGCATGTCTCTTCTTGATTGTCATTTGTTGTCACATGAACTTACAGCCAGTTGTAAGTTCATGTCGTTCTACAAACCTTCTGTTACTATGGGAGTAAATCGTCTTAGTGAAATTGATTCATAATAAGGAATACCATAAATATATATTTGTTGCAAAAAAAAAATGTATAATTGGAATGTCTTGTGAAAACAGGAAGCTGTAATGTAACTCTTTATTTCCAAATTTTAAAGTCAGAAAATAGTTGGGGAAAGTGGAAATTACGAACACTGTAGTTCAAAGAATATGAATACATTTAATTATTTTTATAAATAATATACACTATAATACCGTTAAATCATTCGTCAAGCCTTATTACTTTCAATTTCATAGCCATACAATGTTGCTGGAAATTGGGGGAAGACTATAAAGTAAGAACACAAACCAGATAATGCACACAATAGAAATATTGAAGTCAGTTTCACAACAGTATTTTAGGAAAAAAAGTCGTTGCTAAGACAAAACTTAGGAAAGATTATGGCTTACCTAAGTGTTTCACGAAAGGTTTCACATCTGAACAACCTTCTTAAGCTATTTCCTAACGTTACGACAGAATAATAGATGACGTAAGTTAGAACTAAACATGGCTGCTGTCTAGAATTGCGTAGAATGATTATTTGTGTTCTAGCATGGATTACACCAAAACTAAAACTCGTTCTTTGAACTAAACATGGCTGCTGTCTAGAATTGCGTAGAATGATTATTTGTGTTCTAGCATGGATTACACCAAAACTAAAACTCGTTCTTTGGTAAAATATCTTTGACTCTGAACAAACACAAAAAGGCAGAAGTGACCGTTGTTAAACAAGTGTGAAAAATCTCGGAACTTTAAAAGTATTTTATGATTATTTTTTCTTAATAAAGTAAAAAAAAAGCTTAAATAAATAAAAAAATATTCAATATTATACAGTGAACCAACTATTTAATACTGGATATATATATGTTAAAGTTTTCTTTTCACCAGAGGTGAAATTGAAACGAGAATCTGTGACGTAGAGGCCTCATTCATTCCTTAACTGGCCGTTCCCTCTGCTGTGGACTACAGTTTCTATACAAGGCTTATCAGCACAGCTTGGGTAGCAAACTTAAGAAATACAGTTAGGCCTCTTATAATGGTGGAGGTAAAGGTGAATGACAAATGTAATACTTTACAATCTTCTGTACTTTTACTTAGATGTTCTTATTTTAAATTACTGTCATTGTTGAGCTTTATGTTTGATATGTGTTGAGAAAAACAAGAACAGAAATAAACATTACTGGTCAGATACTGAATTTTCATTTAGAATTTTTCCTATTAGCCTGGTGTAATCATCTGATTAGCTTTATTATGTACTTTGTTATTATCTCGTGAAACTTGTGAAACGTTACATACATGTAGAAATAATTAATATGATTATAAAAACACGTTTCCCCTTCGTTGTTATTCGTGGAATTTCGCGCAAAGCTACTGTAGGACTATATGTCTATTATTCCTTAATTATTAAGCGATAGATTAAAGGGAAGGCAGCTAGTCAAAATCTTTCACAACCAGTTCGTGCTACTGTAATCAAATAGTGGAATATGACTGCTACTCTTATATTATATTGGGCAGTAATGGGGCTCTAATTACGGAATGTAGGATACACAGTCCGGCATGCCAGCTACTGGGCCACGCTCGACTTTCTTCTTTAGTTCTCTGATTATTTTAGTTAATACATAGCATACCAGAAAAACTGTTAAAGGTCACTTAACGCCAAAAAATAAAAAATAGAGAGCTTAGACCATTATAGACGAAACATTAGAGAAGTGATAAAGATTTCTACTTTTATGCTTAAGCAGTTTTCGATAACATTGGACTTTTTCAATTATCTAATGATAGAATTTGTGAGGTGTATGTATTTTTGTAAACTGACTTTTTCGTCTAGATTACATTTTAATTTTTCCAAGTAACTCGTGTTATTTTATTCGATGAACGGACATATGAAAATAATACAAAGATAGATAGATGAGCCCTGGATTGAGCGAAACGCGTCGTAGACAAGGGATAAGGCGAACACATTGTGGTTGAAATACTACTATTGTATACTTTTCTAATTCTTGAATATCCCTTAGGGACTAGATAAAGAATGTAGTGTTTAAAGACTATAATAAGTCTAATACTAATGTTTAATGACAAGGCTACTTAAACATAGATAATCTAAAGTTAATCCTTTGAACTCAGAAAACAACATCAAACACTGCGACTTACCTAGCATGAGGAAGGGCGCTGCCAAATTGATACCAATGAAAACCACACCACAGTAGATGACTAAACCGAAAGCACCAGCTACTGCAATGATCGAGGAGAGACATCCTAGGATTCCAAGCCATGGCTTACTTCTCACACAGTCTGACATCATGCACGTGAAGACCGAGAATCCCAACATGATGATCATGGTAATGCTGAAAAAAGGTATTACACTTTGGGTGTTTTTCTCTAACTCCGATTCCAAAGAATTGGAAACAAAATAACCAATTGTAATATTTTCCATCTCAATGCCTTTCATGGTCAATAAAAACTGGTCCTCCCAGAGTTTTGCTCTTTCATTACCATGTTTGATGTCTGTGTCTAATGGGTAAATCAGGTTATAAGCTGAGGCGTTTTGAATGAAACCTAATTCATCCACTGTTACTCCTCCAAGAGCACCAAGCATTTGATATATTTTTTGAGTGACTCGGTTAATCATGACTGGATATTTCAGTAGGTACTTACGATTTTCAATGTCTCGAATTCTTCCTTTAAAATCTAATATATCATTATGGAAACAAGCTCTTTTAGATTTAGCACACAAATCTTTATATTGGTACGTGTCTCCGTCCCAGGTTATAGTTATGTTTCTAATGGTGGTGTCCAACTTTTGCATCTCTTTGAATATGTGCTCACGCAAAACTGTGCCTCCATCTTTAGCATCAATAAGTACTCGACCAAGTCTTCCTATTCGTGTCATTCTGCCCAAATCAAAATTTTCTGACGTGTTCATTGGAAAAAAGGTTTCAATAATTTTTCTTTCCGTATGTGATCGTCCATCAACGGGGCTGAATAAATATTCCGGATTGTCTTCGTATACTATTCTCTGAAGACCTGTGGCTAAGAGAAGACCTACTAAAAACGGCACAATAATGAAATACCCAGGATAAGAACCAACGTAATATCCCAGTCGGCCAAAAGTCCACGATACCAGGCGATCCACACAGTTGTATTTCATGGTAGAAGTGCGATTTCTAAGAATTGAATAAAAAAAGTTGCCTTAGTAGGACCACAGAGAAAAAGTCATGAAAAAGTTAGTCCTTGCAATTAGAAATGAAGAAAACATATTTTCATACGCAGCATTTCCTGTCTGTATTCAAAGCTGAATGAACGAAAGCTGTGGCAGAAGAGAAAAACAGCGTCGTTTGCTTTTAGGGACTAAACCAGAGTTAACTGACTGGATTAGATGAATATTAGTTGTAGCTGGAACTTTCTCTTTCTCTCAGGCTTAACCTTGAAAAGTTTGAAATTTCAGCCACACCAACAACTTCTTCTCATCAACTAAAAGAGTTCCGGTTAGCTACGATATTTCAGCTCTTCCAAAAAGGCTTCAACTAGTCAATCTCAAGTATAATGTAAACAAAAAAAACATGCTTACATTTTTCCAACTATAGATTTGTTGCTTGAAACAAAATTGTATCTTCTTCTGTTTCTCAGTGTTGTTTCAACTATGCACGTGTGAATATTGACTGAAGTCGGCCCCAGTTGGTGTGATACAGTATTAAACCACCTAGCTAGTGTTCTGGACGACTGGTTCCACTTCTGGGTGAAAGCACTTTCTGTATATCTCACTAATCTCCAATAGACGCTCTCGACATTATCTCTCCCCAACTTGTGACGTAGTGGTTTCTAAGTTTCAAAAACACCTATTGTTGAGCGCGCCCTCTCGTGAGATCTCTAACAACCATTATTTCATAAAAATAACAGATCACCCACACGTTTCATCACGAGAGAGAGAGAGTGTGTGTGTGTGTGTTTAGAGGTACAGGAATAAGAGATAAATCGTGTTTAAAAACACGGCCACGTGAAGACTGATATTATACTAATAGCTGCTCAGTTATAAAGATATTAAGGTTACCTGATCACTGTCATGAATATTGTTATATACAGATAAATAATCAGTACGAACGAAAAGAGTTACTACTGAGTAAGCATACACGTGTATGTCTACTTGCCATAGTTTTTGAACATGTGTAACGGATGCAGTCCGGAGATACAGCTTTTGAGTGAATTGCTTATTTTTTGTTTAACTTTATTACCAATGTTTTAACAAAATAAACAATCCAGTAAAAAGCTGTATCTCTGGACTTTTATTTAAAGTGCATGGTGGACTCCCTCTTCTTACAACGCGCGTAACGGATATACTTTCTGAACAAATAACGCTAATAAATAACACTGGTTTAAGATGTCGATCAGATCCTGAACAAATAACGCTAATAAGTAACACTGGTTTAAGATGTCGATCAGATCCAAAATTAGCTAGATTACTATTATGAAATTACTGGTTTGTTCGACATATTCTTCTGGACACGTTTTTCTCTCTGTTTATATATATATATAACCAGCTCACATCATTGTAATAAAATCACATCCAAGCTAATTTGAAATGGAAATGTACTACACGCTTTATTTAGTTCCGTGATATATATACAGGTTCACATATTTCCATGTTAGTGAACGGAAAAGTTTTCCAATTTCATATGTAACCCTGGTTTATTAATCGAGGTATTGATCAAGGTCAAACCAAGCTATGACCTAGATCATCATTTTACATGCACGTAAACTATGGGTCAAGTCTTGTGACCACAAACTTATCGATTTGGTCACGAATTTACACAGACTTTCAGTATCTCATTTACTTAAATAATGCTAAACAATACACAATATAATCTCTTTATTTACAATATCGTGATTATACATTTTCCAAGAACACTCATTATAATAGTATACTTTTATATTTATGGCGTTTTTTCGCGCGTTTTCATATTGTATACTTTTATTCGCAAAATATGACAGAATAGTTTGGCTCAATTTGACTGGTTGTAAAGTTTG